CTCATTTGTGCTTCCTTGTGAGGGGTTGGGCAACCGTGGCATGTATATGTAAAATCAAGTGTGGTGTCTGCTGTACAGTTTGGTCATATGAGGTAAGTATATGGAAGAGCTACATGTGTTGTTTGTGTGTGTGTGTGTGTGTGTGTGTGTGTGTGTGTGTGTGTGTATGTGTATGAGAGAGAGAGACAGAGAGAGAGAGACAGAGAGAGAGACAGACAGAGAGAGAGAGAGAGACAGAGAAGAGAGAGAACTGTAAGGGGTGTCTGGTGTGAATTACATTACCCTCATATGTGAATTTTTTTTTACGGCTTTGCTAATGATTCCTACAAACTAAAATGGAAGCTTTTGAAACATTGGACATCGAAAATATAGTTAGGCCGACTATTTTTTGACCGACCCTCGTATACGTATGAATGTGATGTATTGTATGTTCGTTATGTTGTGTGTATCAAGTATCAGTGCGTATGTAATAGTTGCAGTTTTGTGCTGGGTCGACTGAGAGAAGGGGTGTAGGAACCTGACTTGAAATGTATATACCTATGTTATAATCGTTTCATTTTGGTGTTTCGACGCGTTGTGAAGGAAATGGAAAATAGATCAGCAGGGCGCGGTATATTGGATTCAGTGTTGATATATGGTTTGAACTACTTCATCCTTCATCCTTGGTGTATATGTATTGATGAAATGTTTCTTTATCGCTGTAATAAGAAAACTACTATTTATTTACATAACCAGAACGAATCAATGGTTAACAAGGATAATAGACAAGCTTTATACAAGAACATTTACAAAAGAAGGTGAAACAGGGAAGAGTAATGCAGAAACATTCAACAAGGAAGTTTTAAACACAAACACTTTGATGAGCGGTGTAACATTTGGCTCATCTTAACAATACACGACTAGAGCATGTCTTGACTGCAGGTTTTGATAGGACAAGAGGGTCCTATCACGGTAATATAATCGCTATTGAAATATGCCTCGGCACACTGCTAATCGAGATTGCACAATGCCGTCTCCTATACCCATTTACGCTACTTGGCATACATAAAAGGCAAAGTGTATGGGGTGTCTTCTTAGCCAGTGATTATGTTGCTGATTGATCGTTCTCATGCGTCAGCGGTTGTATGGCTTGTTGTGTTTGTCAAACCCAAGTTTGTTTTAGATTACAAACCCCAGGAGTTGAAATTACACCTCGGTTGATATCGACGTATGGGTTAGCGTCTGTAGTCGTCCATATCAGCAGTGTTTGTACTAAACCAGTAAATGAGCGAGTTAAATGTATACACACAGCTTTGATTCTTTGTGTCTTACAAAGAAAAACAGTCGTGAAGATCCAGGTTAGAATTGGTCTTCAACAACCCATGCTTGTCGTAAGAGGCGACTAACGCAATCGGGTTGTAAAGCTCGCTGACTTGGTTGACACATGTCACCATAACCCATTTGCGTACATCGACGCTCATGTTGTTTCACTCCGGATCGTCTGGTCAAGACTCGATTATTTACAAACCGTGTATTGCTGTAATATTGCTGAGTTGCGCTATAACAACAAAAGCAAGCAAACAAACAAACAAACGAATCGCGTGTTATCAGTGTAAGCAATATGCTTGTATGTGTATGTAAGTGGCGGGTAATGAAGCTGTCTTGAGACCTACTGCGTGGCTGAACGTATCGATGTCCTTTAGCAGGATGTAAGTGCACCAATACAATTCACAGTAACTGATATATTTAACGTATAAATTATAGGGATTATAAATGTTGTGAGTACGTACTTGAGGAATGAATCACACTCGCATGTGCAACATATGTGGTAATTGGCATACCAGTCTTTCTTGCAGACGAATACAACTCGACATGAAATTACACTTTAGTACCATATTACTCGTAGTTTGAAATTAACTCATCTCCTACTGAGGGGCTGGTCTCTCCCTGGGACCTCAAGATAACATTTTACAGAGAAACAAATATTCAAGACTATACACTTAGCAAAGCACATTTGATCAACGCTGAGGCGTTCAGATTTAGGAGGAGTATGTAACACGCCATCATTGTTCAACAGTTTCATTACATAACTGGGGATCAATTGAAAAGCTTACATGTTGACATGGAGGACATGTGAACGTGTGCATGTACTTTATTCCTTATCGTATTAAAACGTTTTGTGCGCCCAATAGTATCGATGTGGTCTTGTTTATCAGGTAACACGCTTTAATGCAACCATGTTCAATAACATTAACAGCGAGCGATCTTCTGAAATAGACACCGTATCACATGTGAGCATTATTAGTATGGTCCCTATGTATTTAAGCAATTGTGTTCGTCAAAGTCACATACGGATCTACAATGCAAATGGTAATTGGTATCCAAATCTTACTTGCAGAGGAATGAATTCTTTGGTCGTGAGAGAAACTTGAAAGGACTGAAAAGGGCATCCATTCAGCTTGTAAACTGTAAGTATGTGTTGATTTACATACAACGAAACATTCCAAGATGACTGATTCGTGGGTAGTTTCGGGTTTTGTTTTGTCTTGTTTGATTGTTTGTTGTTTACCTTTTACCTCCGCACCCACCAATGATCCAATGTAAATAATCATGTCTGGGCCAGACAATCCAGTGATCAACTGGATCAGCACTGATCCGCCGCAATTGGGTTACAATGACATGTGTCGAACACGTCAGCGAGCTTGACCACCCGATCCCGTTAGTAGTGTCTGGCGACAAGCGTGGGTTGCTGAAGACCAATTCTAATCCGGATCTTCACGGGTATTCGAGCTAGGTTGGGTCGACGATATTTCTGTGATTGTCATAAGATCCAGGGGCCCGTTCACAAAGCCTTCTTACCGGTACGACCTCGTAAAGCAGGTCGTAGACCACCTCTTACTTTTTTACCCTGTTTCACAAAGACCTCGTATATTTACACTGTGCCGTAAACAGCCCAAAATTTAGGACCCCGATTGACCTGCCGTAAATGCTTTAGGAGGTCGTAAACACTACAAATATGGCGTCAACGATTATGGCACTGCAAGTGATTAAAACGCGCTAACAAAGAAGACCTGAGAAATTTTGAGACAGGTCGAACGTGCTCGACACTCATGTTGTTTTCTGACTGTGCAGAAAGTTAGAGCCCCAACTGAACAAACCTACAAGGCGTTCACATGCTATTCCGACCTCCCTGCAAGTGTTGTGTACACAGAGGTATTTGGCAAAAGGGGTTTTCCTCAGTGAAATCGGGGATCTCCATTGACGATTGAGTATCCCGAGCTAGTGTGTCAAGAATACTCCGCGACACCGCTAGTGCTCTGGCCATGTATCTGGACTTGATTAAAAACCCTGGGTGCCACAGGGACATACCTCCTTCCTCTTCAACCCTCACTTTGAAGTTCAATAAAATTCTATAATATGTCACGCACACAAATATACTTCACAGTTTTGTATTCTGCGGGAAATTCCCTGTTTGTTGATACCATCAGACAAATCTAAATAACCTTTCAAAATAGGCTTCATCATAAATGTCGCCATTTTATACACAATACGAAATCACGATTCACAGCATTATTTGCTGTACAGTATAGACAGTATGTTTTCAAATGTGAAAATCGGATAATTACTGGGAGTACTGAATTTCAAAAATAACATATTAATGATCACTGAAATCAGTTTTCATGATATCACTAATGATAATCTGAAACGCTGCCGATGAACCTAGAATCGGTTTGGATGTTTTCGAAAATATATTTCTATGGGCGCTTTCCGCCATATTGGATAGTGTTTACAAAATCACGTCTCGCAAAGGCCAGTATTGAGTTGCCTATCAAATCGCGTATATTTCACAATCAGCTGCCACAAATGCATCACTGAATTCCCCTTACATTTTTAAATCAAATCACAGCTGGTCTTTGTTATCAATACCAACTGAATATTGGGTGTAAAAACAAACGCTGTGCTCGGAAGACTGCGCTACTGAAATGTAAACAAAGAAAAATTCCGATTAATACTGCGTAGCAGCCGGCTATTCATTGCTTGCAATGGCTCAATACCTTTAGAATATGTAAGGAAAGAGTATCGATCATAGCAAGAAAGAGGAAATAAAGAATAGATATAATGGAATGATTTGAGATTTCATAAGAAATTGTCAAAGTTTCCGTGCAGCGTGACGCCATAACAGACGCAAAATCACGCAGAACGACAACGGTAATTATCAGCATTTTTGGCTTCTTCTCTTACTTACAAAGAAAACATATAACAATACACAGATAGTCAGAGTCACTCTGATTACTTACATTTCATATTTATATACAAACGATCCCTGAATCAAGGGAAGAGTCCTCGCAAAATCTTGTGTACCCTTGTCAGCGAAGCCGCCATTTTGTAAGAAATCAGTCATCTGTTGTGATGTCACACGTCAACATTGTTGTAGTACTACATATTAGGCAATATCTTTAAGGTGAAGGTCGGATGATAAAAAACGTAAACACAATCGTCCTATCCTTCTGATTACACTTTCAGTACTATGATGTATATTTTGCGTATCATTCAGATATTTTTTTCATGAAACCAATTTCAGTACCTACATTTAGCCTTGTTCAATATCATATCATACGTGGATATTGGGTATACGTTTTTATTCTTTGAAAGTTTTTGATTGTTTGAATAAAAGTTACAAAGAAATTGACACATTTAGAGTATCACACCATATTTTAAACCTTTACACAAGTGTTAGTAGATCAAGCGTAGCCATAACTGCAACATTGACATTAGGTCCCATATTGTGCAATATTCAATACATTGGGACTAATATTGCAGTTTCATATGAACAAGTAAATGGACTGCGATTTAATTCGAACCTTATAAGTAAAACTGATAATATTAATGAAAATGATTTATACATTTTATCTTGTAAATTTCAATGGAATTTAGTGAGAGAATCCAAAATAATTCATTTATTTTTTACGATAAGATTACCTGTACATTGAATTAAAAACATAACATTTGCATTGTTATTCAAACTGTATTTCTATTTTGACATACTTTGGTAATAACAAGATAAGCAGGTGCCCGTTCGGTCTCGCTTTATACGTTGCTATGCAACAAAGTACCTCTTATACAATGTACGACATGGATTTAGGACCGCGTCGTACGACATGGATATGACGTCTTTGTGAAACGGTCGTAAAGGAGGTCGGAAGAGGGTCGTAAACAAGGTCGTTTGGACTACGCCCTCCTAAATTTAGGAGGCTTTTGTGAAACGCGGGCCAGGGCCTCAAATGGAGCTCGGTGTTTTGCAAATGTTGTAGACTATTGTATAGAAACATCACGCAATAATTAATGGTTAAGATGCAACAGTCATCATTTATAAGCATCAGACAATCAACGGGCAGATGAGTGTACGATGGATGAAGGCTGTCTCTATCGAAATTAGAAGTGGCGTTGAGGTGTGGACTGTAACACTTGTGTTTGGGGACAAACGTTATGAAACTTGTTTCCAGAGTTGGTCTGACGTTTTCTTTACACTCGGCGTTGAAATGAATGTTTGATCGTAAACCGAATTGGAGTTTGATTAGGATTTATCGGTATCATTTTGACCCAAACAGCCTATAAATAGGGATAAGATGGATGAACGCCGTCTAAATTGAAGTTGGAAGCGACGTTTAGGTGTTGGCTCTAACATCGAAGTGTTACGCACAGAGGCATATATACAAGTACGAGGAAGTGTTTATACACTTGAGCTGATATGGACGTGTTGACGGTAAAGTGGTGACGCCTCTTATGAATACAATACGGATGACATATAAGGTACAGAATTGCCTGATAAGTGAGTGTCAGTATTTTGAATTAATACGTTCAGGAATATGAAGCCAGTGGAGAGATTGGAGAATGGGTGATGTGTCACAAGATGGTTGGCTTCTTGTTATAATACGGCCAGCAATGTTCTGAAACATTTGTAACTTGCTGATCAACTCGTTAGAAACTCCAAACAATAAACTGTTACAATCATACTCATCATGATTACATTATGGTGTTTTCAGTGTACGTACTACACACAAATGTAAAACCTGAATCATCATGCCAATATTGACGCAGTGTTATATCATGAAACAGTATTACTGTTGTGCGAGTTAATTCAATATGGACGTAATCTATCCAACAGTCAAAGCAGAACATATATGCATGTTCATGATCACAGTTTTGTACAAGTGAATCTTTTCCTTCGTCGCGGGAACGCTAGGTAGCCTAGTGGTTACAGCGTTCTCTTGAGGCACCGAAGACCCGGGTTCGATTCCGCACATGGTTACAATGTGTGAAACCCATATCTGGTGTCCTCCGACATGATATTGCTGGAATATTGTTAAAACTGCGTGCAACTAAACTCACCAACTCCTTCATAGTTAGCAAACCCATTGATGTGACAAGGGCCGACAGAAATGGTGTCTGGCATCTGGAATGGTGTAAGCAAGTGAATCAACGGATATTCAAGTCCAAAGTACCCATGAATATAATGAGTGAAATTTGTTGTGAGAGATCTGGTCACTGCTTTTCTGTCTGTTCTAGGCACATTGACAGATGCAATGAAGCTGTTGAGTCATTCAGAGGTACAATGGCTACCAGCCCGAACATCCAGTTCATGGGAATTCATGTTCACTATCTGTATGGCATCGACAAGAAATTAAATGACAAAGAGAAAATTGAGAAACGGGAGAAACGGAATTTGAAACTAACAGAACTCACAAAATATGTCTCAGCTCTAAGAAATTCTAATGGTGGTTACTTACTTGTTCACATTGTAGGTTTAATCCCAAATGAAAATTATGTTGGTGCTTTCGACGAGTTTGCAGATGAAACCCTGTACAGAATGATAGAAGACGGGAGAATGTTTGAAAGCGTGTATAAAAAAGAAAGGCTAAGCGAGAAGCCTCTGGATGCGATAAGTTCCATGATTTCATCAGTATTTATGTCGCAAAAGGCACAGAATTTTCAACAGCGGATTTCAACACCAAAATATGTCTAGACTGGGGAATTGTAAACCCTTTACCAGCCACGGTGAAACGGTTTGTTGTCGAACGAAACGGTTCCAGTCACATTCCTCGTGAAGAACCTGATTTCAGGTTCAATGGTGATTTTGAAACCATTCCTCAGTTGCAAGAGAAACGTGATTTACAGCTTAAAGGCTTCATTGAAAACAAGCTCAAAGTTACCTGGAAGGAATTATCGGACTATAATAAAGCAAGAACGATATGGGATGACTTTCGACTGAAGGAGTATGTCAGTGCTTTTACCAAAAACTCGCGAGGTGGATCCTTCTTGCTTGGAATAGGGGAAAAAGGAAAAAGCACAGGTAAATACAAATCAAAAGATCTGCTTGTCCAAGGAGTGCCTCTTGAGGATGAAAATGCGTTCAGAGGCTACCTAAAAGAAGTAGCGCGTGACGAGAGCATGGTGTGTGATTTTGAAGGTGACACTGCTAACTGGGACATGATGAAGGTGAGATGCACTCTTGTCCCTCCCGAAAAGATGCAAGCACGTGCCACAAGAGCTCAGCACAGTATGAAGTACTACGTTGTCGAAATACTGGTTTACCCAATCAATGGAATTGCATTTTATGACAAAAGAGGCCCTCTATCATGCCGAATCGTCAACAACACATGTACCCCTGTTGGTGTAAAAACATGGTTCGAAAAGATTGCATTGACCAATAAAACTTCGTTCTGATGATTTACACACTGTCAGGTGTCACTAAGAACAGAAGACATATAGAGATCAATACAGATTGACAGACAGACATCTTCGTGATGTACATACATGTTTTAAATATTCATCTTGAGAATAGTAGCTACTTGTTGATAAGTGCCTCCGAACAAAAATGTCAATACCGCGGCTTTCTTTCCGTTATCAAATGTTCGTTTTATGTGTCTCGTCCTTGGATTTAGTAGGTTTTACCGTGTATTACCATGTCAAAATGTCATGTAACAATAATTAAAAAATCATTTGATGTTCAAATTTATGTCCGGATTCAGTATATTTGAATATCTGGCCTTGGCAATCCTCGCCTATAACTCAAATATGTACTTGTATACCGATACTATATTTTCTTAAATGTGAAGATCCGGAATACAATTGATCTTCAGCAACCCATGCTTGTTGTAAAAGGCGACTAACGGGGTTGGGTGGTCAGACTCGTTGACTTGGTTGACACATGTCATCGGTTCCCAATTGCGTAGATCGATGCTCATGCTGTTGATCACTGGATTGTCTGGTCCAGACTCGATTATTTACAGACTGCCGCCATATGGCTTGGCTATTTCTGAAAGCGGCGTAAAACAACAAACAATGCTTTGGCAATCCCTGTCTAATTAGTTTAAATGTGCATTCTTACACCGATGTTATATTTTCCGTCATGGATGTAATGAATGTCAGTATTCAGCATTTCACCACTATTATGCAAAGGCCACGGATATGTACAGGCATTGTGAACACAACCTTGCTGTTCGATTTGCAAGGATTATTTTCCTACTGGTTATTTACACTATTTGTAGCTAGTGAGTTTGGCTTCACACAGCTTTGGCAACACTGTTTCATTTGTACATGTATTAAGTCTTGTCAACTTTATGTGGAGTGAGTCAGGATGATTATACACCGCTTTTAGCAATATTCCAGTAGTATCACTGCGGGGACTCGACTTCAGCGTGACGATTTGAAGCTTTTACCATCACCGCTCCGCTTCATGTGGAGGAAAGCTATGAATGACATAAAACTTGAAAATTACATGCATCGTAGGGTGCTTGCTCAGTGTGATATGCACAACGATGGACATGGGTTCATGGTACTGCTAATTGTGGACAATTAGATGCCGAGAACCATCATGCCCCTTAGTAGTTATTGTTAGGTATATCTCATCTTTGTTCAAATATTTGCACATGATTCGTGTTTCTCTGTTGTGGAATGATCTGTGCATTAAATAGTTAGTGCTTTAAGCTTCGCATTGTAATAAAAGAAATTGAACTGGCAACGATGTGTTGGTTTTAATTTGCACTGTCACAATCGTATACTGTGTTTTACCCGTGCCAGGATCATCCATAAATACCTTATTTAAGACCTTTATTACACGTTATGTAATATCCATCGGGAACGAGACTAGTTAGACTGTGGTAATTGTCTTCTACTACTTTAGATAGGCATTACTTCGTTTACAAATACACCAATGATATATGGACATTCCACAGGAATTTCGCATCAGCGTTATCATTGACGTGAATATGTCCAGGTAATAAGTCAGTGCTACTGCTTGTGGAATATCTTAGAAATCGTGGACGAATATCATCTATTCTCGGTCAGACCTTTATTTTGCATTGAGGGCCTTACGAATAAATTATGTCTTTAGTCCGGGTTAGAATTGGAATCCATCAACCCATGACTGTCGTTAGAGCAACTGACGGGATCGGGTGGTCAGGCTCCTGACTTAGTTGACACATGTCACAGTATCGCATTGTCGTAGATCGATGCTGACGCCTTGGAGCAGGGGATGACCTGTTCCAGACATGTAGCGGGAAGATTGCAAACAAACAAGACGGTGATTGATCAGAAAAGCAAGCAGAACATGTTACTCGATTCCGGGAATGAATACGCTTCACTGTGTGAATATGAATGTTTTATATTCGTCCCTGATATATAGGATCTATATTGTGTAACGACCACACTGAAATATTGATGAACAGACATCCTCGTGAGGGTTTTCGAGACAATAGTGTTTCCTGGCATACAATGTGTTGGAATAAACATCGGAACAATGGACCCCAACAAATAAGCTTCCGTGTGAGCTTTAAAAATGACAATTGACAAACCTTTTCCGACATAAACGTTTCCCATTTCAAGTAAAACCAAGCACCATAATCCGAAATTGTCATCACGAAAGACATTGAATGTAACTAGAGAATAGAGCGTGTTTCCTTTCAAAGGACTGCGACATACCAACCAAAACAGACGGTGCCATAACTTTCCACGAACATTACCATAACTTTCCACGAACAATATCATAACTTTTTCAGGTGATGAAGGGTCATGCTAATACCGATATAATTAAATTATAATTTGATTATTTTAATTTCAGATGGCACTCTTTACCGGCAAAAGCTTAAACACATTGGTGAAAAACGAAAAGATGAAGAAGAGCAATTTGGCGAAGTCAAGTATGGACTATTGTACTATCATCCCTCATCTTCAGTTGTTGGCAATCTATAGCCCGGTTTTATATTGTATTGTCAACTATTTGACAAGTTAAACTGTTTTACAATTAATTACTAGTTTTAAATTATTCTCTGTGATAATCTAGTTATTTTACTGTCCTTCGTAGGCAGGCTTTTTATAATTTACTATTAATTACTATGTGTACCAATTAATTGTTCTCGTCACGATATGGCTGAAATATTGCCGATGTGACGATAAATTGTAACTCACTCACTCACTTTAGCCCATTTTTATATTATGTATTGTCCAAATTGTGCTATTAGTTTTAACTTCATATGCTAGTTTTAAATTCGAATTGTGATAGTCTAGTTGTTTTACTGTCCTTTGACGAAGGGTTTTATATTATATACATATTCTTTATAATCAAATTTGTTCTCGTCACGATATGGCTGAAATATTGCTGATGTGACGTTAAATATTTAATCACTCACTCACCATCTCGCATCTTAACGAGCGCATAAGAAGTATGGCACCCATGTTTTGAACCAAACCACGAAGGCTGAACCACTTCCAACTTGTCTTTATTTTTCCAAACTGCAGTAATGCAATCTATGCTATATTTGGGATTACGCTTTCTCAGTACTAAGAAAGTGTAATCCCAAATACAACATGTGTTACATTTGACCACTTTCTAAATGGCATCCTTTGTGCGTTTATTTTCACCACATTTAGGGGTACAACAGAGTATGCTGATCCTTTCACCACGATTTCAAAGAGCGTCACACGGCTCTTGCTAAGAACATTTAAGGCTGAAGCAAACATTCCAATCAAGTTTTATTGTAGTGAAGGGCATTTCAAACTTTGACTCGTCAGTGATACAAAAGGGTCCGTTGAAATTCCACATATCGACTTTTATCATATGTTTCCGATATATTTTTCAGGTGAACTTTTGACTAGGTTCTATGATTTTTTCATCCCTGGTTTGTAAGTGATTCATAAAAACATGCTTATGATATAGCCGGAATTGTACAATCGACTTCTCTTCTTCAGAACAAGAAAGTATGACGCCCTAAACTATGTAGCAGCCCCATTTGAGCTTAAGGTGAGTTGTTTTCCTTTCTATACCTATATCAGAAAGTCATAGTATCATAACAATGTACTCAGTCATATCAGATGTTTGCGAAATTAAGAGTAGTTGTAGTAGTTCCTATAAAGTTATGATAGTAGAAGTAGAATAACAGTAGTAGTAATAGTAGTAATAGCAATAGTAATAATAGTAGTAGTGGCAATATAAGTAGTAATAGTAATAGCAGTAGTTATACTAGTAGTAGTGGTAATAGTAGTAGTAGTAATAGCAGTAGTGATAATAGTAGTAGTGGTAGTAGTAATAGCAGTAGTTATAGTAGTAGTAGTGGTATAGTAATAGCAGTAGTAATAGCAGTAGTTATACTAGTAGTAGTGGTAGTAGCAGTAGTAATAATAGTAGTAGTGGTAGTAGTAGTAGTAGTGGTAGTGGTAGTAGTAGTTATAATGGTAATAGTAATAGTAGTAATAGCAATAGTAATGATAGTAGTAGTGGTATAATAGTAGCATAGTAGTAATAATGAGTAGTAGTAGTAATAATACTAGTAGTAATTGTAGTAATGATAGTAGTAGTAGTAATACCAATAAGAAGCAGTAGTTATAATTGCAGCAGTAATGAGTAGAAGTAGTAATAGTAGTAGTAATACCAATAGTAGTAATTGCAGCAGTAATGATAGTAGTAGTAGTAGTAGTAGTAATACTAGTAGTCGTAGTAGTAGTAATAATAACAATAATAATAGTAGTAGTAATATTAGTAGTAATACTACTAGTAGTAATAGTATTATCTATACCGTTACTTATTTTGATGGTGAAAGCAATATCTGGCGCCTTGAAGCTCAGTGACGAGTACAGTTTGCCAGGAACATGGTCCTGTTATCAACCCTCACACTACAAATGTCATAATTGTGTTTCATACACGGACATATCAGTGGAAACTAATTAAAAGTTGTTATTTTTCAGACAAACATCTGTGTGGAACCGCAGCAGTTCAACATTCAAACGAAAGACTTCTTTCTACCATCACTACAACAGATTGGTGACAGTATCAAAGACATTCGAGAATTCTACTGTCCTCGTGGTATGTTCTTTTTCTATCCATCCAAGAAAAGTTGTTACATCAATGTTCCAATACACTGACAAATTTAAGATTGAAACAATCCCAGGAAGTAATTAATCGGTATGTCCTTATTGAAATGTGACATGTTTGTATGTCGCCCCATTCAGCAATATTCAAGATATATGGCGGCGGTCTGTAAATAATTAATTCTGGATCAGACAGTCCTGTGATCGACAGCATAAGCATCGATCTACGCAACTGGGATACGATGACATGTGCCAATCAAGTCTGACTACCCGATCCCGTTAGTCGCCTCTTAGGACAAGCATGAGTTGCTAAATTTCAATTCTAACCCGGACGTTAACGTGTCGGAATGTGTCACGTCCCCCAACACATACAAATAAATATTTCCTGTATTAAATGCAGATGATTTATATATATATATATATATATATATAAGGTCACAGTAAAATGCATTCAAATGTTATTATAAAATAATTATCACTGATATTCATGATTTATACTTGCAGGTAAACTTAGCATTGTGCCTAAAAGCCTTACCGCCAGTCTAAAGAGGATCACTGAGAAACTTGTAACTTTCCTTCAAGAAGAAACATTTTCTTTGTCCCAAAACAGTGGACTGATAGACACAGCCAAACCAAGACTTCTTCAAGAAACAGATGGTTTCATCTTTATCGCTAAGACATTGTGTTTTCCATTAAATATACCGTACAGTGAGTTGCCATCAGATATCCGCTGCGACATTGTCTTGATGCTCCCTTCTCAACCAGCATTTGTGCTGACTGTAGTTGATAACGACACCACAGAAGCAAAGAAATACGTCAGTGTTGCTAGAGGGCTGATCACCTCCCTCAATAGGTTCATTGACGATGACTTTTCAGCAGTGTTTGGTGTTGTGTGCAAGTCTCATCTTGACTCATGGGATACATTTCAATCCAAGTTGAAGACGCTTGCGCATTCATGTAGCAGATTTGTTACGTTTGACTCCCTTTACATGTCAGAAGGAAAATATGATAAACTCATTACTTCTTTTTGGGCTTCAGTTGCCAAAGTAGAGCCTGGCGATCAGTTTCCCGACGCAGAAAGGATTAATTTCCTAACAAAAGAACAATGCACAGTGTTGTTAGAAAATATGAATTCCAAATATGTGTTTGTGTTGACGCTTCCAAAGTGTGGTGGAACTACTCTGATGTTGGAAGTTGCTAGAAGACTTCAAAACTTTCTACCAACCTATCTCATGGTCAAATCAGTGGAAGACAAGTCCAAGTACAGGTCAGATCATTTCACTATTTTACTGGAATGAATGAATGAATGAATGAATGAATGAATGAATGAATGAATGAATGAATGAATGAATGAATGAATGAATGAATGAATGAATGAATGAATGAATGAATGAATGAATGAATGAATATGGTTTTAGGCCGCTTTTAGCAATATTCCAGCAATATCACGGCGGGGGACACCAGAAATGGGCTTCACACATTGTACCCATGTAGGGAATCGAAACCGGGCCTTCTGTGTGACAATGAATGTATGAATGTTTAACCAGGTAAACTGCACCACCCATGTGAATCAAAATGTCCTTTAACATCATTAATTGCAAATAGTTACTGTCCAACTAGAAGAGAAATTGTTTCAGGCCTCTTTACGGATGGTGGCAAGGTAACACATTTGCCAGCAACCGCAAAGCTGGCTCACGGATAAAATAAATACAAGTATCATACTCTCCTTACACCATATTCCTGTCGGATTTTGTCTCAGGAATACTCATCCAATTAACCTATCACAAGATCTTTGCAAATATATACTGTCTAAATTATACATCTACCAAACACATAGCTACTTTTTAGCTTTTGCAACATGAACTTAACAAATGTTATCTTCTGAGTAGATATTCAGCAATTCTATTCTGCAAAATCGATCATTTTTATACATTTTGGGCATTATGTCAGAACCTATTTACTTCGTAATGTTGTCAGATGTTTGCTGCAACTTTCTTTGTAGCTTTGTTGAATTCATGATCATAACTATAAGGTAACATAAAACAAGTTACTATATGATATTAGACTAATATGTACTTTTACTGAATTTCTATTGTCTTGATGTTTTTTGGGACATCTTAACGCATACCTGAACATCAAAGTCACAATGAAACAGTATTCATTATCAAGAAGTAGCGGACATGGTTAATTCCCAAGTAAAACCCAGTTTGATTAACGTTAAGGTGTTAACGTTGAAAACAAAGTTGATGAACTGAGCTGGCACAGAATAGTTATGTCTATGACATATTGTTTTCATATTGTATATTTTATACAACCTGAGTCATGGCCTACTACTTTGTCAACAACAATTACCGTTTGGTATCTTCATAGTGTATATTTGTTTTCAGAGGTTTGTGTGAGAGTGTTTCAACGGCATTGATTTCTGAAAGTCCTGCAATAACAGATGTCTTGGACAACAACTGCGAGTCCGAGAGAGCCGCTGTCACAGAATCAATTCTACCTTTGCATGATCACGAAACCATCAAAATTACGTGGACCTTCTACAATCAGAAATATAATCTATGTTAGACTAACTGAACAAATCACTGAGAAGTATTTTCGCATGACAATGTACCAATACATATGAATGTAATACAAACCTGAAATGAAGATGTCATTTTGTAGAAGATTATTAGTTATCATATATATCATATATATATATACATTGTACCCATGTAGGGAATTGTAGGGAAGCATAATCAGGCATTATAAAAACATGTTGGAGAAGATCCGTGTCGTGTGATTATTTCAGAAACTTCTTCCTATATATGTACTACTGTACACTGGGTATTCTCATCACTTTCTTTATATATATATATATATATATATATATATATATATATATATATATATATATATATACGTTCAGGCATAATTGGGGCGGTGGGGTAGCCTAGTGATTAGAGCATTCGCTCCTCACGCCGACGGGCCCGGGTTCGATTTCCCACATGGGTACAATTTCTAAAGCCCATTTCTGGTGTCCCCCGCCGAGATATTGCTGGAATATTGCTAAAATCGGCGTAAAACCATACTCAGTCAGTCAGTCAGGCATAATTATACCAGATTCCATTTGTTTGCTAATTTTAAAAAATTTACCTTCAGCGTGTTGAAGTCTAAGGAAGGAAATAGCACATGAATTTGTAATGCACAGCAGACTTTACCTCATGGTATCTAGGGACGGTAATATTTCTTTAACTATGTATCAAATAAGTAAAATCAAATTTAAAACTAATTCACAACATACAAAATAACACATATGGATGTATTTAAGCTCACTTTTTATATGCTGCAGACTTCATCAGGCCGCAAATTATGGATGAGATACTTGACTTGTTTGGATCATACCGGCATGTGCTTCTTGTTGGGTCAGCTGGTGAAGGAAAATCAGTCACGGGCCTTCTTCTTCTTGAGCACTTCAGGTCAAGGGGAATAAGTGTACTACATGCAACAAGTGCCGCGAAAAGGAAATATGGCACTAGAAAATAAAATCCTGGACACATGACACTAGAAAATGATACCAGGACATATGACACTAGAAAATGACACCAGGGTATATGGCCCTAGAAAATAACACCAGGCCATATGACAATAGAAAATGACACCAGGACACACGACACTAGTTAATGACACCAGGACATGTGACACTAGAAAATAACACCAGGACACGTGACACTAGAAAAATGACACCAGCATATATGGCACTCTAAATAAAGTCCAGGACACACGACACTAGACAATGACACCAGAACATATGATACTAGCAAATGACACCAGGATATATGGCACTGGAAAATGACACCAGGACACACGACAGTAGAAAATGACACCAAGACACACGACAGTAGAAAATGACACCAGGACATATGACACTAGAAAATGACACCAGGACATATGACACAAGAAAATGACACCAGGACATATGACACTAGAAAATGACACCAGGACATATGACACTAGAAAATGACACCAGGACATATGACACTAGAAAATGACAACAGGACATATGACACTAGAAGATGACACCAGGACATAGGGCACTAGAAAATGACAACAGGACATATGACACTAGTTAATGACACCAGGACATATGACACTAGAAAATGACACCAGGACATATGACACTAGAAAATGACACCAGGACATATGACACTAGAAAATGACACCAGGACATACGACACTTGAAAATGACACCAGGAGATATGACACTAGAAAATGACACCAGGACATATGACACAAGAAAATTACGCCAGGACATATGACACTAGAAAATGACACCAGGACATATCACAGTAGAAATTGACACCTGGACATATGACTCTAGAAAATGACATCAGTACATATTACACTAGAAAATGACACGAGGATATGACACTAGTTAATGACACCAGGACATATGACACTAGAAGATGATACCAGGACATATGACACTAGTTAATGACAACAGGACATATGACACTAGAAGATGACACCAGGACATATGACACTAGTTAATGACAACAGGACATATCACACTAGTTAATGACACCAGGACATATGACACTGGAAGATGATACCAGGACATATGACACTAGAAGATGATGCCAGGAAATATGACACTAGAAGATGATGCCAGGACATATGACACTAGAAGATGATGCCAGGAAATATGACACTGAAAAATGACACCAGGACATATGACACTAGATAATGACCCCAGGACCTATCACTCCAGAAAATGACACCTGGACATATGGCACTAGAAAATGAAACAATGATATATGACACTAGATAATGACACCTGGACATATGACACTAGTAACTGACACCAGGACATATGGCACTAGAAAATGACACGAAGACATATGACACTAGATAATGACACCGGGACACATGACACTAGAAAATGAAACAATGACATATGACACTAGAAAATGACACCAGGACACATGACAGTAGACATTTACACCAGGACATATGGCACTAGAAAATAAAATCCTGGACACATGACACTAGAAAATGATACCAGGACATATGACACTAGAAAATGACACCAGGGTATATGGCCCTAGAAAATAACACCAGGCCATATGACAATAGAAAATGACACCAGGACACACGACACTAGTTAATGACACCAGGACATGTGACACTAGAAAATAACACCAGGACACGTGACACTAGAAAATGACACCAGCATATATGGCACTCTAAATAAAGTCCAGGACACATGACACTAGACAATGACACCAGGACATATGATACTAGAAAATGACACCAGGATATATGGCACTGGAAAATGACACCAGGACACACGACAGTAGAAAATGACACCAGGACATATGACACTAGAAAATGACACCAAGACATATGACACTAAAAAATGACACCAGGACATATGACACAAAAAAAATGACACCAGGACATATGACACTAGAAGATGACACCAGGACATAGGGCACTAGAAAATGACAACAGGAAATATGACACTAGTTAATGACACCAGGACATATGACACTAGAAAATGACACCAGAACATATGACACTAGAAAATGACACCAGGACATACGACACTTGAAAATGACACCAGGAGATATGACACTAGAAAATGACACCAGGACATATGACACAAGAAAATTCCGCCAGGACATATGACACTAGAAAATGACACCAGGACATATCACAGTAGAAATTGACACCTGGACATATGACACTAGAAAATGACACCAGGACATATGACTCTAGAAAATGACTTCAGTACATATTACACTAGAAAAATGACACGAGGATATGACACTAGTTAATGACACCAGGACATATGACACTAGAAGATGATACCAGGACATATGACACTAGTTAATGACAACAGGACATATGACACTAGAAGATGACACCAGGACATATGACACTAGTTAATGACAACAGGACATATCACACTAGTTAATGACACCAGGACATATGACACTGGAAGATGATACCTGGACATATGACACTAGAAGATGATGCCAGGAAATATGACACTAGAAGATGATGCCAGGACATATGACACTAGAAGATCATGCCAGGACATATGACACTAGAAGATGATACCAGGACATATGACACTAGTTAATGACAACAGGACATATGACACTAGATGGTGATACCTGGGTGCCGTTCCACTAACCGATCTTATCTTAAGATCAATCTTAGCAAGTTACGCCAATTTTACAATCGTCTTAGCTAAAAAGTTACACGCGTTCCACTAACTGTTCTTAGGACGATCGTAGCCGGTCCCGATCTTACGATCCGATCCAAGCTTAGATCGAGACTCTTTCGTGCGAGAGATGCGAGGCACGAGTTATCTCCCTTGCATAGTCTAGCAAATGATAGAAAGTAGTTTACGAACCAACTGAGTGAGTGAGTGAGTTTAGATTTACGCATCCTGGGGCATGCTCAAAGCGCTATGTACAGATAATTTACACGAGACTATTTACAGCCGAGATTATAAGTAATATACTGAGAACAAGTTTTAAGTCTGAACTTTAAAATGTCAATTGTGTCAGAGCTTTTAATATGTGCCTGAACGATGTCAATCAGAATAGACAAGCCGTGAGGAGGCTATAACGTATGAAGAATCTGGCAGTGGTCTTAAATAACACGCGGCCTGCCTTTAGAATCCCCCACCAAATATGCGCAGTGAAATCAAGCATATTTGTATCTTTTTGCATCAGAACATTGTTCACTTCACGGCTGTCCCTATTCTTAACAATGACGTTGCAATATTGTTGTACAGATGTGTTACACCGACTCGCTCGGTTGTGTTCCCATGACGACAGTGGTCAGACTGGCCTGACATTTGTAAAGGCTTCAGTGCAGTGTTTGTTTACATCACAGAAATATACAAATTCATTTCGACTTTAGGGGACGTTCACGGTGAAATGCTCGCTCTTATTTTTCACATAGAATAGGAAAGCCACCATCTTGGTTTCTCTACGATTGATTTTAGCTATCCTAAGTTGGTCATGAGCAACTTAGACTTTGAATCTTAACTTTACGATTGACTCAGGTAAGACTGGTAAGTGGAACGGTATGCCGATCGTAACGTCACGCTAAGATTGGGATTTTAGGGGTTAACGATTGGCATAGGGCTAAGATCGGTTAGTGGAACGGCACCCAGGACATATGACACAAGTTAATGACACCAGAACATATGACACAAGAAGATGATAGCAGGACATATCACACTAGTTAATGACACCAGGACATATGACACTAGTTAATGACACCAGGACATATGACACTAGTTAATGACACCAGGACATATGACACTAGAAGATGACACCAGGACATATGACACTAGTTAATGACACCAGGACATATTACACTAGAAGATGACACCAGGACATATGGCACTAGTAAATGACACCTGGACATATGACACTAGAAAATGATACCAGGACATATGACACTAGAAAATGACACCAGGACATATGACACAAGAAAATTCCGCCAGGACATATGACACTAGAAAATGACACCAGGACATATCACAGTAGAAATTGACACCTGGACATATGACACTAGAAAATGACACCAGGACATATGACTCTAGAAAATGACATCAGTACATATTACACTAGAAAATGACACGAGGATATGACACTAGTTAATGACACC